AAAAAATGAAGGGTAATATGTTATAGAAAAAAGGCTGCTCTATGTATTGAACATAAATTTATCCCACCTCTTGGTCCAGGAGCGTGACAAATTGGCATTACATTGTCCACCACGCCATGGAAAGGCACTTCCGGCGGTAAGTAGAAAACGCCACTAAATAAAAGGACATCGGATTGAGGAAGAATGTGAAGTAAAGGACCGCATACGCCGAATGTGTTCTGTCCCAGATCAATTAATAACAATGCCGTATGAAATGACTTGAGCCATAGGAATTAAATTAATAGGCAATTATGAACCAAAAGGCCAGGCATGAACCGGCCAGTGACAAGTAAGCTGGTCGTGCCTGCACACAGATACTTGCCTCACACCTAAAACGCTGCTTAGTACGAGGCCTCTTCTCTAGCTTGCCCGTAATGTTACAGAGCCTAAATACCTACGTGCTTAATATTATCTCAATGATTCTGCTCATTTTCAACCCCAGTAGAAATGTTGAGGATATTTTGTTATAACTGTCCCAGGGCAAGTAGGTACTAATTATTGTATTTTAGTTATAAAAAACACGATAACATGATCTTATGCATGAATAATTCAGAATTACACCAGAAAAAAAAATAAATAAAAGACGAGCACTGATGAACGCCAGAGGGATAGGTATTTCGATCGGAATTCAATGTGTTAACAAATAATCCGTACCAAATGTATTTATACAAGCACACATTATGTACACGCGGGCACCGCTTTTCGAGGTCAGTGCCACTGATGTCTGCACAGCAACCTGCCACGCCTCCTCCACCCAGCACTTGGACATCCGACGGCGCCCGCGCCGCCGCGTCCTCCGTCCAGCGCTGGACGTCCCACAGCCCGCCGCTGTCGCGTCCTCCGGCTCCGACCAGCGCTGGGATATATACAGCCCACGCCGCTGCATCCTCCGATCAGCGCTAGGAAGTCCCACAGCCTGCCGCCGCCTCTCCGTTTTCCGACCAACAGTTTTGCGCTGAAACATAGGGTACAAATTTAAGACTTTGCAGTTGAACATTCAAGATATAATAAATGATTCGTTCACCAAAACCACTTCATCACTTTATCACACAATGTGAATTTGGATCTGCCCTTGTAAATAGCTACCTACACACTGGCACTTGACTTGACCATGGTACATGCAACACATTTATTTCACTCAAAATTATCTTCCTTGTTCAAGAACCCTTTTCAAAGCCAAAAGCTGAAGTTTTGCACCTGAACCCAAAAGAGGCTTATTCGCTATGCCCAAAAGCAAATCTTGTCACCAACCCCAAAAGTGACTTGTCGCTAAGTCCAAAAGCAAAATTTGCCCCAGGTCCAAAAAATTATTGGTCAAAAAGTCAACAAGCTGCCTTAGCCCCTAAAAACCAAAAGCACTTTTTCTGCTATGCCCAAAAGGAAATTTTGACCCTAAACCCAAAAGCGACTTGTCGCTAAGCGAAAAAGCGACTTGTCGCTAAGCGAAAAAGTGACTTGTCGCTAAGCAAAAAAGCGACTTGTCGCTAAGCGAAAAAGCGACTTGTCGCTAAGCTGAAAAGTGACTTGCCTAAAAGCAACATTTGCCCCAAGTCAAAATAATATTCGCTGCGAAGCCAAAAAGCTGCTTTAGCCCCTAAAATCCAAAGCAACTTTTGCTATGCCCAAAGCAAATTTTGACGCAAACCCCAAAAGCGACTTGTCGCTAAGTCCAAAAGTGACTTGTCGCTAACCCCAAAAGCAACATTTGCCACAAGTCCATGTTGGCTTGTTGCTTAGCCCAAAAGCTGCTTTTGACCTCAAAATCCAAGTGATTTTTTCTATGCCCAAGAGAAAATGTCAAATATTGTCCTTGTCGCTAAGCCAAGGAGTAACTAACCATGGGTCAACAACCAACTTCTGGCCCCAAACCATGTGAGTTTGTGCTATATCAAACACCCAATTTTTTACCTATTCATATGAGAACGAACCCCCTTTTAACAGGCACAAAAATTGGATATCACAAAATGAAAATACAATAAATGAAATAGCGTCATCATAAAACCAATTATAAAAAATGAAACAGCCATGGGAAATGGTATCTTACCTGCCAAAGATAGCATCCGAATTCCGAAGACTCTTCGAGATACTCTAAAAAGCTTAAAATTTTCACCCATACAATAGATATAAAAAGAAAACAATCACCACAACATTCATTCCCATACAAAAATACATTTAGAACAAAAATAACACCTCCGCGCCACTAAGCGCAACTCCGCGCCAGAACTGACTACGATAGCAATAGTGTTAAAAAGATGTATTTATTTGAAGTTTTTGTTTCCTGATTTTGTTATAATATTCATATATTATTCTGATAAATACATAAAACATATTTTGAATGTTACCTATTTACAAATATCAATATTTATATAAAAAAAATCAAGAACGTCAGTGCTCACACCACTACTGAAAATGAGACGGCCGCAATGCCCAATGTCCCGTGTCAGTTCAGTGTTGTGTATTACCATCTGGCGAGCGCGGCTTCGTCATAGTCGTGCCGTAATGGAGTTTGATGTCATGTGCCACTGCCGTTTATGGCCATGCTGTGTCATGCGAATGTGCTTTTCCGTATGGGGTTGTACGGTGTCGTGTAGTACCGTGAAATGCCCAAGCTCCTAGCTCTCAACTCTCCAGCTCCCAGCTCTTAGCTCCCAGCTAACATGTCGGTTCCCAACCAACCAGAACGAAGTGATCAGCCGCGGAATATGGTGGCCGTTCCGTATGATCATAAAAAACAGACCCGGACAAACACCGCGGACAATGGGAATCAGGCAAGAAGACCGATACAAACAAATGAATACCTATACAGACGGACAGCATATAAAAAATACAGACAGACAGACAGACAGACAGACAGTCAGACAGACAAACAGACAGACTGGTATCTAGGGCTGCTTTTGGAAAATTCATAACGAAGGAGAAAGATCTCCGAAAGGCCCACATGGTTTCATTTGCTAATTACTCGTTACTTAGAGCCAACGTATAAATTTTCATAAAGCCATGATTATGACACGAGCCTCACTGCTGAGTGATATTAAAAAGATAAAAGCCCAAGCCATATTCTGCACTTTTCATCAATGAAACGCTGCGAATCACACCTCATCTGCAACATCCCGTTTTATAGTTCTTTTATTATAATAAACCGAAAGTAGAAAGGCTGTATCTGATGCACTGTCATAGTATATTTTGTGCCTGTCTATCGTAACAAGCCCATGAAAACAAAATAGCAGTCGCAAAAAATGTGTTCCCACTAGTCAATACTTGCAAATGCCTACACCTTCAGACCTGCAGCTAAATGCTTATCTAACATTCCCGTTCGCTAAGCCAACGGTGCGGAACTAGAGCATCTTTAATATGTTCGCAGTTCTCTCTAACCGGTGCCCTGCATATTGCAATTCCATAAAAATCCTCATTGACCTCTAATGACCTTCAATGACCTACCTAATCACTAAGCTGAACTGACACGGAAATCAGCTGAAGCAGATGTGTAGCTTTTTCTTGCCACCTTTCAAACTCAGCTCTTATTTTGCCTAGCGGACGTCCGGACAGTTGAGCCTCGGCTGACGTAAATTTTCCATTTTCTCACACATCGTCCGTCACCGTCGCTCTCCGCGGGGTGACATGGCCACACCCTGCGGCTGTGTTTTTACCCGCGGTGTCCACGGTGACATCAGGGTTCCCTGCAGACCGGTGACCGTTTCCCGACCGCTGGTCAATGTCAGTCGGCACCCCATTGCCACCGTCCGTGTGTCCAGTGCGTGTTTAGATCGATTGATCAGTCGCGGCGGCTCCATGGAAAGTGGCTGTGACCGTCTCGAACGGGAGCAGTTGCATAAAATAAAGCGAGAGTGTGACGGGATCTGCGGAGAACACACAGAAACGAGCTCGTCTGGATGGCATTGAATGCGTCTTGGAGGAAGGCTGATCTCGGCTTACTGACAAAACTGGAAGCAGATGTGACCGAACTAATATGTGACCGAACAAATATGAAATTAAGGCACGTAGGTACTGCAGTGTGAACGACGAAATCATTGAAATGACTCAACATGACACAAAATCGTTAGCTGATAAATATTGAATGGTACATTAATTTTAATCACGATTCACGCTGAAGTTAAAATGCAGCCCTCAGCCCTTCGAATAAATCACTCCAAAACGTTATTTCTTTACTATTTAGTGCGACGTCTGTCATGACCAAATTCATGACATCGCCGGTTAGGTGGTCATTCAGGTCCATGTTACACCAGTTCAGTCCTCCTGTTGCAGATCGATTGGTGTTAATCCGTTCGCCGTCACATCGCTCCTCTCCAGCTAAATGAACCGTCAGAGGTCTTCCAAAATCACTGAACATAGCATGAGTACCACTGCATCGGCGAGGGAAGACGGACGAAGGTGAGCTCGAGGGAAATTCTGGGAGGTGCATTGGGTGCGGGATAAAAAGGAAGCTTATTGGCCTGATAAAAAATTGAAAACAACGGAGCAGTGTGATGTCTCGTGGATTGGTACAAAGATGCGGTTAGCCATAATTATGTTATAGCATGAACGTCATTGGTTAAAATTGGTTATATTAGGTTGTGACTGGCCCCTAAATGAATATTCTAGATTAGGAGCCTCTTTTATGCAGAGAAACCGGTTTCACCACATCATAACAATGCTCATTGCTCAGCCTTTATTACATATATTTTCAAACCTCATTACTTTACTTTATCAATAAATATTACAATAAGTCGTATAGGGTAACTAAGTGTCCGTTGTACTTACGAGCAACGACTTTCCGTCAACGAGCACTGCCAAACGGTCATAATTATTTTGATAACATAAATTAGGTATGGCTGACCGAATAATTACTTTTCAATTGTAATTTCTATTAATGCAATGATGCAAGCAGAAGTGATGTTTTAATATGCTTATTGCGCACAGAAACTCATCAACACTGAATTCACCCCCCCCCCCCCAGCACTTACCGATATAAGTTCGAGGAAGTCGGCTGGCACAGTCGGTGGTGATTTTCAGTGCAGGACAGGTGTATCCTGACTCGGGCTGTTTCCTGTCCCCAGTCAGACCGGAAGTCCTGAATCTACATTGAAGCTGACCGTCCTGTCCCACACAGAGCCTCCCAGCACCCGCAGGCTGCCGAGTCCCACGCCACTCCACCACTGAGTCTGACGCTGGGGGTGCACCACGGGTCTGCACCAGCACCACGGGCCTGCCACAGCACCACGCGGCGGCCGGCCGGCTCACTGGCGCCCAGCGGAGCTGCCGACCCGACACTGACTTCTGCCAGCTACCGCCCGCCGCCCGCCGCCAGCCGCCCGGTCCGCCGCCGCGGGCTGCGGGTGCGTGCCACCGACTGTCCGCCCGCCCCGCCCCCGCCCCCGCCCCCGCCCGCCAGTGTTCACTGTTCACAGATCAATTAGCGAGCTCCATTACGCGAGGTTCATTCTTTCCCAGCCACCGGGCAGACTGAATAGATTTCCCACTACGGCGGAGGTAAAAACTCGGCGTAAAAACGATCTCATGCACCGGCGCCGTCGGCAGAGGCCCGAGCTCACTCAGCACACAGTCCAGAGATGGAAAACAATCGCGCAGCCACGGCAAACATCCGCCCTGGGCCGTGCGCGAGCTGCCGTGTGTGTGTGAGGGTGTGTGCGGTTCCTGTTAGACATATACCGCAACATTCAGCCTGGCATAGTTTCAGTTGATAATGCTCGTTTATTGGGCTGAAACGGAATGCGGGGTGAGCTGTTTAGTTTGCTTATTTTGCACCTTTCATTTATTAAATGATATCGATTGTTTATAAACAACATTGACGATGCAATGTTACGTTCAAATTAATTAATTCTGAAAAAATGATAATCCAGCGTGTCTACCTACAATAAACTATAATTAGCTCACGAACTGACGGTCAGGCTCGAACCCAACTCGAACCCTCGAACCAAGCCTCGAACGAACAGCTGCACAGCGAACGCTATTTTTCGGCCGTGTCTACAAAGGTACAAACCTACACTGAAGAAGTGGTTCTCGCAAAATCTACTACAACAAATCAGTGTCCTAGTATGGCCATGTTTCAGATAGTTCCGATAAGTACCTACTTACCCACACACCGTATACCTATTGACAACTGATAGTGAGATAATCCACCGATACAATAACGGTTCTTCACAGCACGTGTCTTCTGTGCGTGTCGAAGATCAACGTCAGGTCATTTGTTCTCGGAGTATGAAACTGCACACCACTCTTCCTCGTAGGTAATGACATTTAATTTGTGTCTTTCATATAAATTCATCCTTTCGAGCGTCACGTTATGTGTGTGAGTTGAAGTGTGCAGTGCATTCAAGGGTCGGACTGTAATTGTTAAAAGTAGATGTAATGCATCCGGTAAGGAACATTACCTACTTCTAATTGCTTACGTGACCGGGCCCTGTTTTGTGTTGTTGTGTTAGGCCCTTTCGGTCTATTTATGCCGCATTTTTCAATGCCGTGGGATGGGAAGATGAGGGTAAAGACACTGGACCGAGTCAATAATGAGCTGGTGCACGACAGTGGTTGAGTGTTCTTCTTGTTGCAACCTTATTACGGGAGTAACCCAACTTCAGGGGTTACCTGTCCCATGATGGGACAGGTCACCCAGCCGCTCAAACGGTTGCCCCGCCTAGGGATACGCTTCATTTAAACTTGAAAGCGACCATCTACCGATTGTCTGGTGGGGGTGGGGATGACAAAACCCGGAATAAAGCACGAGTGTGAACAAGAATAGTGACAGGCACTGAGTAAAGAGGGTTTGGGTGGATTCCAGTCAACGTGACATTGATAAAACCATACGTCCGTCAGTTCCAAGTTAGGAAACACTGTCACCACCTGTGTTGAGATAACGTTTTTCTTGGTAAAGAGCGTCGAGTGTTTCACTGAACAGCCTCATCTTGACGTCACAATCCACAGCGAGGTCGGTCAAGTCCCGATCCAAGAACAACAAAACACATCAACAAGGCCGGCGGCAAAAAGCCCGACCCGCGGTCATTTCACCACCGTCCGTGTTTTCCACGGCTCTGTTTCGGCTGTCCGGGCCGGACACACGGCGCCGAGCCGGACTGACACTGCAAGCTGTTTTCCGGCTCCAGGCACCTGACCTTATATTTTAGTAGCCTGTTGCTTTAACTATAGAAACGGACACTTCAGCCCAACGTATTCCTCCGCAGGCGCACATCCTTTTTTGTGCAGGTCCAGCCGGACCCGTGACAGCGAAACGAACCACTAACTTGGAGAGTAATAGCCGTTTTCACGACTGCCATCTGGTACATATTTGGTGCACATCTGGTGCAGATTAGGTGCATATTTGGTCAAATCAGGTTCAGTGTGTCTCTTAGTAGGTATCAGCTAGGGTTGCACTAATTGCTTATATGCCTGCTTTGTCATATTATCAGAGAGTATCATCGATTAAAACACTGAAATAAATTCATAACCATAAAGCTATTTGTGTAGGGGAGCCGGGAGCGGGAGAGCGGCCGTACCAGTTTAGAGGTTATGGTTGAGTTAGTGTCCGCTTTAGTTTACCTTGGTTTTGTTAAAATTGTATCCTACAATCCATAGGCGGCGGAACGGGGAGGGCACCGGGGCACCGTGCCCCCTTTGATTTTGGCTTTTTAACATTAGCCCTATGGGCGTTGCATGGAAAGAATGGGACCAAAAGTCGGCATTCCCCCCCCCCCCCCCTTAATTGAAGGTGTTCCGCCGCTACTGCTACAATCATTTACCTACGATATTATTCTATACGATTATTTACTTTACGAACTTTGCGTTACGGTCTCTTGTCGTATGTAGGGGAGAGTAGGGTGAGATGCCCAAGGTTTTACAATCTCATACATTTTTCGAAAATGACGATCGGAAAGCAAAAACTTGGAGTTTCAACGGAAGCCGACATCATTTTTCTTTAAAAAAAATAACACACTTTCGTGCCTGAAATATGACAGCTTTTGTGCTATTATGCATTTTCCTGAAGAAGTGAAAGGGGGCATCTTACCCCACAGGGTGGGAAAGACGCCCCCTGGCGTTGGGGAAGATGCTCCCTGCACTATATATAAGTGATATAAATGGGCACGTGAATCGCCTGAACGAATCAGTAGTCCCCTCGAGCCTGCAATAGACACTAAACGTCATCGTAAGGACCCTCAAAAGTAGTCGTAAGGGGCTTCAGAGGTCGTCATTAGGGCCATCATAGTTCAGCGCGGCCAAACAAGCCTCCGTGGTGGCGTTCGGAAACCGCTGTGGGGCCCCCTTATAGGTCTTCATGATGTTTGAGGGCCCTCGAGCCCATCGTGGGGACCTCAGATGTCAGCGCGGCCCGTGGAGCCAACGTGGGAGCCCTCAAAGGATGTCGTGAGGGGCCTTGGAGCCAATAATGGGACCCACAGCGGCCGTCGTGAGGGCTCTCAGAGTCAGATGCCGCCCAAAAAGTCGCTGTGTGGGCCGAGAGACCGACATGGGGAGCACCCGACCGTACTGGACTCTCAATAGTCCCAGATCGGCTTTCGTCTCTCATCACAAGTATGTAATAAATGATTTGACGGGTTCCTTGAAGGCTAGCCTACGGATTTAGGGGGCGTCTTTACCCATCAGGGCAGGGGGCATCTTACCCCAAGGTACCGAATTAATTAACATTAAATCAGTACAGTTTGTTAGCCATAAACTACACCCTGAGACAACCTGTTTAGGACACAGTACACGCATGTTAATGTATCACGACCATAGCAAGGGACATAAAAATTATTTACCTTCTTTGATATTTACAATGTTTTGACACCAAAATATTTTTTGAAAGAAGCAAATAAAAAACATGCAATCACCAGCCAGCCGTTGCCCAGTTGAGCTTCGCAAATTTTTGTGCAGTTAACAAGGACATTAATTTCCAGGTTCAAATTTTTGTTTCGCCTCTAGAGGGGGTCTTTCCCACCCTGGGCATCTTACCCCACTCTCCCCTATATCTTTTACAACATACGATCTTTATCTTACGATCATTTACCCACGTCTTTTTCATACGATACTTTTCTTTACGATCTTTAGCGTACGATCTTTGGTCGTACTATATCTTGCGACACACGATCTTTATCTTACGATCATTTTCCTACGGTATTTTTCCATAATATCGCTTGCTTTACGATTCTTTGCTTACGATCTTAACCCTCGCCCGTATAGGGGGGGGGGGGGGAGGACGAACGGACCCTCTAGTTTTTTTTTTTTCGCGAATAACTCGCGTAAAAAGCGGTTGAATTGAACGAAACTTTCAGTACCTACCCTCGCGTTTATCAATTTTACACCTACCCTGAAAATGTTATCACCCTGACCCAAATGACCTTTGACCTGTGACCTACTTTTTGAGACAATGTTTGGCGCGAATCGCGATTCGGCGTAGGTAGGTATGTCGGCTCGCATTAGCCGCGCGTTTGCAGTCTTTTCGTGGTTTCAAGCGTTCAACCTTGTGATATGATGTTGGTCCCATGCATTAGGGTGGGTGTCAAGGTCACCTGAAGGTCGGGTCAGGTCATTGACCTTTGACGACCTCGGTTCACTTTTTCGAGTTTTAGGTACCTATGAGCTGAATTCGAATTTAGCAACCATTTGAACATATATGTAGGTAAGAAGTAGTTTTGGTGCCTCCGTAACATGTTACGTACGAAGCTCTCAGAGGCAGTTGACATCTACTACGAATACCCGGTAGGACCCCTACTGGTTGACCTGACCTGACCTGACCCGACCTGGCCTAAATGAATGAACACATCATCTGTGATCAAAACTAACATGATATTCGTGATCAGCATGAAGCATCCCGAAAAACTCGCATAGCCGCGTCACTTCAGCCGTTCTAACAGGTCCCGATTTTCGCGACTTTAGGTCAACTTAAGACCTAGGACCTTAAAATTGGGTATCATCGCCAGTAGTGGCGGAACACCTTAAGGGGGGGGGGGGCACTGCCAACTTTTGATCCCATTCTTTCCATGCAACGCCCATTGGGCTAATGTTAAAATGCCAAAATCAAAGGGGGCACGGTGCCCCGGTGCCCTCCCCGTTCCGCCGCCTATGATCATCGGCTTCCTCTCGTCACGGGCAACTCGCTCGTTTTTTCCGCGAAGCTCTAGCTCGATCAGGGGCCAAACGGCAAGGGGTCCCCCCTTGTACGTTCACGGCTGGAATAACACCAATACGGGCGAGGGTTAAGTCGTACGGTCTTTTGCGCAGGGATGGACGTTTGTGCCGAATTGGGGTAGCACGAGTCTTCCCAATTCCACGCC